TTCAGGCTGTTCTTGAACTCACTTGTAGCCCAGGCTGGCCTTAAACTCTCAAGGATCCTCCCGCCTCAGCCTCCCAAGTGCTTGGATTACAGGCGTGTGCTACCACGCCTGGCTCGACATTCAGCTTTTATGTTGGACAAGAACTACAAAATATTATTTGAAAAGTTTGTTTTGTTGACAGGGTCTCCCTATGCAGTTCAGGCTGGTCTTGAACTCACTATGTAGCCCAGGTTGGTCTCAAATCTTGCCTCGGAATGCTGGGATTATAGGTGTGCACCACCAAACCCAGCTATTTGAAAGTTTTATTCGGGCACTTTATAGGTTTCTCTGATAGACATATTTTGTTTAAGAGGTTTTTTTTCCCCTTTTAAACTGATGAGTTAATTGCTTATTTCTTCAAATGGTCATTGAAGCATAAATTCCTACTCTGTATTCAAATACTCATCAGTTGTTTAGAGCTCCTACAATAAAAATTGGTTAGATACTGATACAACATCTCATGCATTTGCATGCAAATCCTCATGCACAAGTTATTTATTTGAAAATACACTGGGCGCACAGATATAGCTCAGCAGTAAGAGTGCCTGCCTAGCAAGCACAAGGTTCTGAGTTCAATTGCCGGTACAAAAACAAAAAACAAAACACAAAACAAAACAAAACAAACACTTTAGTTATAAGTCAGAGTCAACTAACTTTTAAAAAAATTTTTCTTTTAAAGAAAGAGACAAGGCTGGGGATGTAGCTCAGAGGCACAGCGCCTGCCTGGCAAGCGCAAGGTCATGAGTTCGATTCCTGGTTTGAAAAAAAAAAAAAAAAGAGACAAAATCCCCAAATTTCCAAAACAATATGATAGGAGAGTAACAATGATCAACACATTGCATATTGTTATCTTTAAGTAGGAGTCAATTAACTTGAAGAATACTTTATGAATGCTAAATTTACAAATATTTTTAATTCTTTATGTTTTTGATTTTCAACTTTTTGTTTTGTTTTTGGAGACAGGGTCCTGAGATGCAGTTCAGGCTGGCCCTGAACTTGTGGAGATTCTCCTACCTCAGCCTCCCAAGAGCTGGGATTATACCTGATCAATATATTTGATTCTTAAAAGTATAAAAAAGGCCAGCCATGGCGGTATCCACCTATAATGCCAATGCTCAGGAGGCAGAGGCAGGAGGGTTGCTGTGAGTTCGAGCCCAATCTGGGCTACACAGTGAGTCCAGGCCAGCCTGAACTACACAATGAGACTCTGTCTCAAAAAAAAAGGTAAACAATACCATGAAATTTTTTTCATAAAATATATAGATACTAGATGGATATTCTTCATAAATACCACCTATCACTAAGTTGTACCCATGTAATAATTTAATGCTTTTTAAAACCTTTTCATATCTACCTCATAGATAAATGTCTAGCATTATTTGAGTTCTTACTATACTTGTTAATAAAGAACTAATCTTTGGAGTAGAAACCACCAGAGAATTTAGTAGTCCAAAAGTAAGTTATTTACTAAATGCAGGAGAGTTGCTGAGTCTAGGAACAATGAAGAAAATGTCACCGTCAGGGAGTGCAGGCGTAGGGAGAGGGCAGATGAGGTATATATTTGTTTTTAGTTTCATTTCTTAAACTGGGCAGTGGTCCCAGAGGGTTCTTTACATTTTTTTTTTGTACCTTTGTACATTTATGACATTTCATTTTTTAAAAGTGGTTTTAAATTGCTAAAGAGCCAGCCCTTGTAATCAAAGTAAAGTAAGTTATGTACTGATTATAGTCCTAAAACTCTGTTGCTGAATAACTCACTTTGTGATCCATGTGCCTCAGCTTCAGGACACACGAAAAATACTTCTGTAGATATTTCACCTGGAAAGTTCCCCAGTGAAAACAACACCTTTAGAAACTAAATCACAGGGCTGGCAAGTATGAGGTCCTGAGTTCAATTCCCGATACAAACAAACAAAAAAAAGAAACTAAATCACATCAAATTATAGGTCATATTTAGGTCACCTGTATTCCCACACTTTCATATTTTTCCTAAAAGTCACAAACATTTATTTCTGAGAAAGAAAAAAAGTAGCATAAGACAGAAAATGTTTTCTGTTGCTTTATAAATGAACATAAAGTTATAAATCTTTTTAAAAATAGTATAATGTCCAAAAATAATTTACAGGTGTTCCCTTACCTTGTTTATATTAAGCAACTCTTTAGCAAACATCCACTTAAAATATTTTCCCAACTTACAATCATTTTATATGTAAAATCATACAAATTTGGACAATAAGCTTACAGCAACAAAATCACTTACATCATAAGCTTTAAACTCTGAACGATCCTCAAAATTATCAACCTGATGTCTAACTATTCCCTGAGATAACACTTCCACTATAAAGCAATGACTTCCAAAACGTTTGTATATCAAGACGCTGTCTTATGAGAAAGTGACATACCAGCACAATGGAAGAAACCTGAGATTTATGTGGAAAATGTGTAACTAAGTCTAAAAAATTAACTCAATTCTTAAAAATGGTCCTGTTTTTTGGAAGTCAGAAGTTCTAATTCTGTACCACGTATTTAGCAATTAAGTCCTCTAAAACACCTGAAATATCCCTCTGAATTCTAAATACAGAGTTCCAGTAGTATTTATTCCTACAAGGGGAAGAAACTAACAGATGGGTAGCTTCATAGCAATATAATATGAAAAATTCCACAGGGATCAAGTAAAAGAAAACAGTGGTATATTAATATATCCGAGGGATAATAACTCACATCTTTTTCTTGGTGCACAGAGCTAGCTAGCCAAGTATTCTACCACTGAGCTACACCAGATGCAGCTTATATATTTTCATTCATTCTTCACAAATTTATATAAATGTTTAAAATTACGAACATCAAAATTCTTGCACTTAAATTCCTATGAACTACTCAAGTTCACCAGTAAATCTGCCTGTGTCTGTCAAGATTTTGTGTTTCTCTGCCTTATTACTCACCAACTGTATCTGGATTTACCGGTCTGGAGACATCAGCTTGCCCCATGATTATATTGTCTGATGTATCTCACGACAACAAACTGTCCCGGACAAAAGCAAACTTCTCTTAAAGGATAAATCCACAAAAGGAGGAGAGCTGAAATCCTTGCTCACTGTCACCGCCAAATGTCAGGAAATAGCATGAGGTCAGCTAATTTGCTAAGAGTTTTTGTTTTCCTGTATCCTGGCCTGGGCACTTGCGGTTCTTACAAACATGTCTTCATGCTGGCTCTCTTCACACAGGAATGCCTGTCATTCCAGAGTGCACACTGTGCGGAGCTGAAGTGCGGAAGGGGAGGAGACTGCCAACCACATTCTAGCTGCTGAGCGGCACAGCCCAAAAGCCCACACCCTCCTTCCTGACTTTGAACTTGGCTGGAACTCTCCAGGGTCAGAGCTACAGTAGAAAGGGAGTTTGTGGGTGGTGGTAAACGCCTGTAGTGCTCGCACTCTGGGAGGCTGAGGTAAGAGGGTCTAAGTTTGAGCCTAGCCTGGGCAACTGAGTGTGATCAAAAATTTTAAAAATATCTGGAATGTAGTTGAGTACTGCAAAAACAAACAACAAACAAACAAACAGATAAAAAACAAATACACAAGAATTTTGTGTATTAGGGATTGAACTTATAGGCCCTTCATACTAAGATACACACACAGTCTTTTAAGTGTGTGTGTGTTGTAATTTTAAGACAGGCTCTTACTAATTCACTAAGCTATCTCAGCTTCTCAGAGTAGTGAGGTAAAATCTTGGGTCTTACATGTCACCAAGCCTATAATTATCAGGGATTTAATACTATTCCTTCAATAAAAGATAGCTACAAAAAAAAAAAAAGCTTTTGCTTTAAAAATTTCTTGGGCCAGGGATATAGCTCAGCGGCATAAGGGCCTGCCTGGCAAGTGCAAGGTCCTGAGTTCAATTCCCGGTACAAAAAAAAAATGTCTTTTTTCAAGTAATAGAGGTTGAACCCAGAACCTCATACATGCTAGGAAAGCACTCTACCACTGAACTATATTCTTGGCTTTAGTGTAAACTTTTGCTCTCCAAACTGAAACTTCAGAAATATTTCTAGTACCTAGAATTTCCCTTAGACTTTCCATGGTACATTCTATTTCTCTCTTTTATCTTATTACTACTATCAGTTTTTGAAAGGGAAAGAAATAGCAATGGTACAAGTAAGAAAATGACAATGCTAAGGGATCTATAAGAGCAAAAAATGTAGGAACATCCAGGCAACATTTAAATTAATTAATTAATTGATTGAGACAGGGCCTCTATAGAGTTCAGGCCAGCCTAAAAGAAGACCATGATGAGGCAGACACGGGGGGGTGCACACCTGTAATCCCAGTACTAAGGAGGCTGAGACAGGGAGGATCACTATTCACTTGAGGCCAGCCTTGACTAATAGTGAGTGCAAAGCCAGATTGAACTACATAGCAAGATCCTGTCTCCATAAATACATACATAAATAAAAAAATTGCACTTTAGTGAATTAACTTATAGTGAGAATGTGTATCTTCCCTTGAAAACCACAATTTCCAAGTGTATGTAATTTACTAGGTGAGACTTTAGTTATTAAAATAACCAACATTTTATAATTTTACTTTTTAAAAAAAGACTTTAATTTCAAGAGTCTAGCCAAGCATGGCAGCACATCTGCAATCCCAGCATTCTGGGAGGCCGAAGCAGGAAGATTGCAAATTCAAGCCCAGCTTGGGCAAACTAGCAATTTAGTAAGATCTTGTCTCAAAATAAAAAATGAAAGAGGGCTGGGGACACATCTCAATGTAAAGGCACCGGGTTCAATCCCCAGTACTCTCTAAAATAACCAACCAACCAACCAACCAACTGACCAACTGGAGTCTTTTGCATTGGGTGAAAGGGTAGTAGTGAATGGAGTTCAGAACATAACACCATTATCAAGTATAAGCTGTGAAACTAATTTCTTCCATGTACAAATATTTTCACTAATTATTTTAATTATTTTCTTTCCTTAAAATATATATACACATTAGCCAGCCCCGCAACTGTAATCCCAGCAGAAGATCGCAAGTTCCAGCCGAGCTTGAGCAATTTAACAAGATCTCAGAATGAAAAAAGGGCTGAGGATGTAGCTCAGTGCATAAACCCTGGGTTCAATCACCTATATGGGGGGGGGGAGATACACACATATTAAATAATCTTAGAAAAAAGTTTCTAAAGATGACCAACAAAAATTATTAGCAGATCACATAAATCCATACTTTAGTAAAAGACTCTTTTAACTTCTGGATATATAATTGCAGGAGAAAACAGATTCTTTCCCCACACTCAGTTCTGGGGATTAAACTTAAGTACTGCTCAACAAGCACTTTACTACTGAGCTGCACACTTCATCTGTTTACTTTCCTTTATCCCATCCCTCTATTCTAATCCAGTCTGGCTGGCTCTGGATAGTTATATGCAACAAATAAGGCCCTGCAATTAATAACTGTGCCTCACATTCTATGTGGAAATTAGAAAGCCTTCCTAGCCATTTGTAAACTCTACGCTACTTCTTCTATCTGTGTAAATTGTAAGCTTACATTAGAATTTCTTTCCCAAATCTATCTGGGGAAGTCCTACTCATTCTTTAAGAACTGGCTCAAACATTCCAGTCATGGTGGCACATGCCTGTGATTGTAGCACTCTGAGAGGCTGAGGCAGGAGGACTGAAATTTCAAGCCCAGCCTGGAAAATTTAGCAACTTAGAGGAACCCTATTTCAAAATAAAAATTAAAAAAGGGCTAGGCATATAGCTCAGTGCAGACCTGTGCACAAACCTCAGTACTGCAAAAAAAGAGAACTGGCTTCAATATTGCTTTCTCAGCCAGGTATGGTGGCACATGCCTGTAATGCCAGCACTCAGGAGGCTGAGGCAGGAGGATCACTGTGAGTTCGATACCAGCCTGGGCTACAGAGTGAGCCCAAGGCAAGCCTGAACTGCATGGCGAGACCCTGTCTCAAAAAGACAAAAGAAAAAAAAATACATTTTTATATATATATTTTCCCCTTAAGGTACTTAGAGACCAAGTAGACAGGTTCTGCAACAAAGTATGTTTTTGTTCTTATGCAGTATTGGGGATTGAGCCCAGGACTTTAGGCATGCTAGGCCAGGCAAGTGCTCTTCACTGAGCCACGTCCTCAGCCTGACAATAGAGCACAATGAGCACACAGGTACCGCGCAAACACATGCTGGTGGCTGTAAGGGAGTCCAGAGGCAGCCACAGAAGGGATGACACAAAGTGGAAAAGGCCCAAGGACCAAGAGTATTGCAAAGGTAAAGAACTGATGACGACTCTGGTCTTGCTGGGCGCACAGCCCTGAACTGCAATGACCTTCATATTTTTTCTACTAGGTTACAAACTCATGTGCAGGGCTCATGATGTATTTATCCCTAAACTCTCAATGACTGGAGCAACTTAGGTTACAATGTACACGCAACAAATATTAACCTTGAGTACTAGGAAGAAAGACAGCCTGTGAGCCTTGCTCACAGAATCTAGTCACAAATGACAAAGTGAGGAGTGTCAACAATGGAGGCCAAGGAGTGTGGCGACCATGGGCTGTTTGCAAATAACCCTAAGAGCTGCTGTGAGACTCTCACTTCCATGGGGAAAATGGCATGTTCATGATGATTTTTGAGAACTTACTGCTTTGCAAACAGTAGTAATAAAGGACATGAAGTTGTACAAATGTTCATTCACATAAACCCTCATACAATCTGTATGGGCTTAAGCTTCTGAGCAGAAAGCATCTGTACTTTATGCAAACTAGCCTGAAGGTCAGGCTGAAAAAGACAAAGACAGTGCCACTGGAGTCACCAGATACTCATGTCCCTTACCCCAAATAATATTGGTTTCTTTCTGTGGCTGGCTCAGTGGATACAAAGAAGAAACAAAACTGCCTCCTAGTCTACACCAAATACTGTAACTCTTCCTTGCTTTCTGCCTACTTCAAAAAAAAAAAAAAAAAAATTATTCCCAGTCAACCTTTGGGCTGGGAATATAGCTCAGTGGCATAAGTGCTTGCCTGGCAAGCCTGAGGTCATGAGTTCAATTCCTGGTACATAAAAAAAAGAAAATTCTCTGCCTACTTCAGAAGGTTGTGTGGTTTTCCAATGGAAGAAAACAAGGGAGGCAGAGACACATATAACTGTAAATTTTGAGCATTCTCATTTATTGATTGAGATTACTTATTAAGTTACTGGGTAACTTACTTCATACAAGCCTCGGTTAGCACATATGTGAGATAATTACTCAGCTGTGAAGATTATGCAAAGACAAATCTCTAAGGACTCTGATTATTGGAGATGCTTAATATACTGGCTCCTCTCTCTCTCCATTTATTTTGTTTATTTAAATGCCCCTCATCTCTCAAATAGTTTAAACATAAGCACTACAGTTCCTCAAAAACGGGGAGGTTCTATTTTTATGTTACAGCAGCCAAATGTTTCTTTTGTCCTCAAGAATGGCAGTCATGCCACGAGTGGTGACACACACCGGCAATCCCAGCACTGGGAAGGTGAGGCAGGAAGATCACAAGCTCAAGCCCAGCCTGGCACCCTGTAAGACCGTGTCTCAAAATAAAAAATAAAAAGGGCTGGGGATGTGGTTCAGGGTGAAGGCCACGGGTTTAATCCCAATACCAAGGAAAGAATACAATGGAAGAGAAGGGGAGGGGAATCAATCTCTTCCCCACCCTAGGGAATGGGGGACAAACTCTACCACTGAGCTATCCCCATGGCCTAAGGTGGGGAGTTTCTTAGCACAGTAAAGTCAGCAAGAAAGATTGGGGTTGAAGAACATGAGAATTAGCTGAATGCAGATAAGACAATGTGGGGGAAAAAACTGAGCAAAATGATTCACAGTTTATGGGGCTCCTTACTTCCTATTACCTTTTATTCTGTTCCTTATTTATAATTTGGGTTTCTCATATAAGAGAAACCATGTGATATTTAAGCTTGTGTGTCTGATTTATGTCACTAAACATTATGGTCTCAAGATGTATCCATTTCCTATAAATGACTCAAGTTTATCCTTCTTTATGGCCAAGAAGTACTCCCTTGTGTATAAAGATCACATTTTGTTTATCCATTCATCTGATAGACACATAGGCTGCTTCGAAGATTTAGTTATTATACCATTCATATTCTGCTTATGAAAAAATATTTCAAGAAATATTTTATTATGCATGGAATAGTGGCCATAATGTCCTTTCTATAACTAAGGATTATAAATTGGGTGAGCAGAAGGGCCTTGGGAGAAAATGACATATAAGCAAAGACTTGAAGTA